ATGTATATATGTGTATATATATATGTATTTAACTTGTTTTGGTATCATGTGTTTTATATTTTTGATGATGGTTACAAGTTTTAAACATATAAAACTATGAAAAAAATTACAACATATAATTACAAATATACTTATTTATGTCACCGGCATTCACTTCCATAACATGTAAAAACATTTTATTTTTCGTTAACATGGAAGGAAAGGCAACATAGATTGGGGGATCAGAAGCCAGTCTTGGAGTCAGTTCTGTCTCTAACACATCCTGGGTAGGGGCATTTAGCCCCTCAGTATCTCAGACATACCCCTAGACTATTAGTTATTGATGTGCTGCCAGTTTCTGTTGTTGCAAGGAGTTTCTGCAGGAGGAATTCTACAATAACATGCTCATTGTTCTGACTCCTTCTGATGCCTCCCCTTTAAAAAAGGAATATAGGTGATACCATTAGCAAATTAGGGAAGTATGGAATAATTTACCTGTCAGATTTGTGGATAAGGAAAGAATTTATGACCACACGGAATAACATTGCAAGGTATAAAATGGATAGTTTTGATTACGTTAAATTTAAAAGGGTTTTGCATAATCAAAACCAATGTAGCTAAGATTAGATGGAAAACAGAAAACTGGGAAAAAAATCTTTGTAGCAAGTTTTTCTTATAAAGGCCTTGTTTGTCAAATACGTAGAGAAATAGAGTCAGATTTGTAAGAATACAGCTCATTCCCCAGTTGCTAAATGGTCAAAGTATATGAACAGGTAGTTTTCAGAAGAAGAAATCAAAGCTATCTGTAGTCATGAAAAATATTTTAAATCACTATTGATTAGAAAATGCAAATTAAAACAACTTTGAGGTACCACCTCACACCTATCAGAGTGGTTAATATGACAGAAAAGGAAAATGATAAATGTTGGAGGGGATATGGGAAAACTGGTACACTAATGCACTGTTGGAGTTGTGAACTGATCAAACCATTCTGGAGAGCAATTTGGAACTATGCCCAAAGGGCTATACATCTGTTGCATACTCTTTGACCCAGCAATACTACAGAGCTACTAGCTCTGTGTCCCAAAGAGATTTTTTTAAAAAATGAAAAGGACCTAAATGTACAAAAATAATTATAGCAGCTCTTTTTGTGGTTGCGAAGAATTAGAAATTGAGAGAGTGCCCATCAATTGTGGAATGACTGAACAAGTTGTGGTATGTGATTGTAACGGAATACTATTGTGCTATAAGAAATCATGAGCAGAATGCTTTCAGAAAAACCTGGAAAGACTTATGAATGGATGCAAAGTGAAGTGCACAGAACCAGAAGAACATTACAGTAACAGTAGTATTGTGTTGATGATGAACTGGGAATGACTTAAACATTTCTCAGCAACACCAATTCCACAACAATCCAAAAGGACTCATGAAGAAAAATATTATCCACCTCCAGAGAAAGAATGGATAGGTTCTGAATGAAGATTGAAGCATACTCTTTTCCACTGTCTTTATTTTTTTAGTGGAGTTTTTTTTTGCTCTATATTTTTTCCACAACATATAACTAATGTGGAAATATGTTTTGCATGGTTGCACATGCATAACCTATATCAAATTACTTGCCGTCTCAGGAGGGGACAGGGAGGAAAGGAGAATTTGAAACTCAATTTGGGGGAAAAAAAGTAAAATACTATTTTTAAAAAAGGAATATAAAAGGAACAATACATTTTGAAGGTTGGAAAGTATACTTGTGAACTTAAGTGGTATTTTTAAGTTTCCTCAAGGTTTTAAATTGCCAGGGTTATTGGTCCTGCTGATCTCACTTGCTCTGTGTTTTTAGAGTCAAATATTTACCAAAGCAACCCACCAAAATCATTCTTTCTTGTCTAATCTCTTAGTTCATTTGGCTGGGGATGTTACTAATGAGGCCAGGTTCTGTATTGGATTACCACGTAGACCATTTAGTTTAATGTAAAGAAAATCTACCTCGTAACCAAAGATAATATCCTTAACCCTGACCAGATGGCTTGCAAATGTGTGATTAATCACAACTGTTATTAGATAAGATTGTGTGTCTCACAAAACCATTTGTTAGCACTTTTGGAAATATCTTAGTGTGCATTTCGTACTGGTGGTATGTTGGTAGCTTTGTAAATGAGGTTGTTAAATATTGATTACTTATTACTGTAGTGCACAGTGTTTTGGAGGTAAAAAGCTTACTAATACAAGAAGACTCTGCTTCCACAGAGTACAGTAATTTAGCCAGAGGTAAGTGGCACACAGGAATGCCCAAATTCAAATCCTGCTCTTTGACCCTGGGCTACTACTTAACTTCCTGGCCTCAGTTTTCTCATCTGTAAAATGGGGATACTAATGACATCTACCTCATGGGTGAGAATCAAATGAGCTAATGTTTGTTAAGCACTTTGTAAATCTTAAAGTGCTTTATAAATGTAGTTAATGATATTTTTTAAAAAGTTCAAGAGAATGGAAAACTTAACAATGAACCTGAGTTGAGTTTTTGAATGTTGGCTAGGATTTTGATGATTGGAGATAATGTGTAGGGTGAACAGTGAAAGAGCAAAGCCTAGAAAGTGTGAAGCGTGTCTGGAGACTCACCCATATACCTACTGGCTTTTCATATTTGTTTCCTTTGGTTTCTGGAAAACAGATTAAGCTAGTTTGATTGGAATGAAGATTTTAGGAACATGAGTAAATTGTGATGAAGCAGGAAAGATACGGGATCAGGTGATGGAGAATGCCTTGAGTTATCACTCCAAAGAGTCTATCTGGAGTGGCCAGTGCCAGCAGCCTCCTCAGGTTTGTGTTTCAGAATCTGGCTGTGAGAGTCCCTGACCATTAATTCCACCCATGGCATGTAGATGGTATAGTAATGGATTTGGAGCCAGTAAGACCCAGATGCTTAATAGCTGTGTGTTCTTGGACAAGTCACTTAAACTCTCTGCCTCAATTTCCTTGTCTGTAAGATGGGGATAATAAAACTGTGACTTAGAGAAGAGAGGAATAGAAACAGCTAATGTCAGTCCTTTCCCCATGCAGTACCATGGAAAGCACTAGCTCTAGAGTCCTAGGTGTTCGAATTCAGCTTCTGATGCTTCCTACCTTTTTGACTTTGGGTAGAATACTTAACTTGCCAAGGTTTTAGTTTTCTCATCTATAAAATTAAGAGGGTTAAACTTGAATCTGATGTTCCGTTCTTCAAATCAATTGTCCTATGATCGTAGAAACGTAGCGTGGTTATAATAGTAGTGATTAGAGAATTGGCTTTAAAGTCGGGAAGACCTAGGTTTTAATTGGCCTTTGATATGTATGTGGTTGAGGGGTGAAAGTTGGAGAGCAATGCCTGAGTCACTTAATTTAACCTTTTCAGTGCTTCAGACAACTTTTCTAAGTTGTCACTCTGCCTTGATAGAGAAAGTTTCTCATCCAGTACAATTATACGTCTGGTTACTAGAAAAGACGATGATCCTGTTCTCTGAGGGACCCACCTAGGCCCCAAATTCTCCAACTTAAAGAAGCTCAGAATGCATGGCATTGAGTGTGTGTGGCAATTCAAGAGGTACTTGCCAAAGAGTGAGGAGGGAAGATAGAGACAAGGTACTAGGAATACAAAAGAAAAGGCTGAAAAAACAAAGAACCCAAGAGAGGGAGTCTGTGACTATCAACTGGCCTTGCTTCCAATCTGACAAGCCAAATATTGAGACTCAAAGACAGAAGAAAAGAAAATGAGTAAAACATTTTTAAAAATAATACATTGAACAAGTATTTACTGTGAAAGAAGAACCAAAAATCCTCTCTCCAGAGATTATAGAACAGTGAGAAACTCCAGAATGTTTCCAAAAAGAGTAAAACTTTTAAAAGAATTAAGACAACATGCTGAAAGTGCTATTACCGCTAATAAAAATTGAAGAATAATAGTAATAGAGAGAGTGTCATAGACAGATGATGCATATTCATTTTGTTTTCCTGAATGAAAAGTCACTGAAGCATTTTCCTGACAAGTAATTATTTAATTTATACTCTAGTTACAAGTGAGTTGTGTTTTATAATATTCAACTTTCTGAGTTCTGCCAATGTGATATCCCTAAAAGACAGGTGTGACTTTTTTGTTACTATGCTGCTCAAAAACTTCCAGTATTTTCCTGTTGTCTATTAAAAGAATTCTTCTTTGTGGCATTTAAAGCCCTTTTTAATCATTTCCACCTACCATTCTGGGCTACTCTATGCATTATTCCCATTTGAACACACTATATTCCAGCCAGAATGGCCTGCTTTCTGTTCTTGTCTACAGTTTTGTTTTTGTTTTTGTTTTGGTGAGGCAGTTGGGGTTAAGTGACTTGCCCAGAGTCACACTACTAGTGAGTGTTATGTATCTGAAGCTGGATTTGAACTCCGGTCGTTCTGACTCAAAGGCCAGTGCTCTATCCACTGCGCCACCTAGCTGCCCCCTTTACAGTTCTATCTTATATTTCTATGCCTTTGTATGGATTATATCCTATTTTTGAAATGTAGTCCTTTATCGTCTCTAATTCTAAGCTTTGAAAGCCTTGCTCAGGTGCTGCTTCTATAGAAGGCCTTTCCTGATTTCCCCACTCATTTTTTAGTTACATCTCTCATCTCCTCAGTCTTTTCCCAGTTATTTTTGTATCTTTTTCACATACATTTACCTGTGTGCATATTACTTCCCCATACCAAATGTAAGTTCCTTGAGGGCAAGGACTGTTTCATTTTTGTCTTTGTATCTTTAGGGCCTACCATGAAATAGAAATTCAATGAATGCTTGTTGATTTCATCTATAAGAGATGATTAGCAATATTGATGTTAAAGCCTTTTTGTTATTATTAGAGAGGAAATGAATATAAGAAAAATATTTGCATCAAAATTCAATTATCAAGATTGCCTCTTTAGTTTTAAATATACTAAAACTATTCGAAGTACAACTTTTAAGTATGCTTTTATTTTCATAAAACATGAAATGTTTTAAATGGCATATTTATATTTAGGGAGTACTGGATCTATCTGATATACATTCTCCACCAAAATCCCCGGAAGGAAAGATGACAAACTCTCATACAGTACCCAGTAAGGTAAGTCATTTACATTGCCAAAATGAAAAGCATTTCTGGGATTAAGAAATTAACAGAAACTGCTTTTGATTTTTCATTTTTATTGAAATGATAGTGTCAGATATAGCTGTGTTCTGTAGTTGGCTGAAAACATCTATTTTTCCTTTATCAAATATGAAGACATCTTGTGTCTGTTTCTGTGGTTTGTCAGTAGTACTTTAAATCCTGTGTCATGGGTGTGAATTTATTGTGATAGCTATAACTAGATTTGTTAAGTATTTGTGTGTTTTCACCTGGTGTGGTTTGTGGTACTATTTTTTTTTTTCAAGTTTAAAAGAAATTTATACGGTTTTTATCTTAAAGATTTTGTCTGGGAATAACAGTCTGACTTTAGAATTCAGTGTTATTATATTAAATACTGTTAGCTTGGGTTTCTTTCATCTTTTGTTAGATGCTCAGATTTGGAGCGAAGAACAAAATTTGATTTGTTGTCTTGTTGAGGCTTGCTTTGCATTTTCCTTTTAAAATCTTTGGTTGCATTAGTTGCCTGTATTTTCTGGTTATATTCTCCTGTATTTTTTATGTTGTACTTAAAAAGATAAACTCAGGGAGGCTAAGTGATGTGCTCAGCATCTCACAGCCAGTGTCAGAATCTGAATTTTAACACGGAACCTAGAGGCAGTGTTCTTCCTCTTCCCTGTGGGGAGAGGACAGGTTAAAGGATTTTTGCTAATAGAAGGAAAAATTCAGATAAACACTGTAGTTTAAATTCTGGCAGCATCAGTTATAGTTATGGATGATTGTATAACTTGATTCTTCATAGTACTTAGGTTTCAGCTACAGTAAAGGAAAGTAGTATCACAACCTATCCATAATAATTTGTATCTACTTTCTGCTTTGTGTGTGTTTCACTATTTTCTTTTCAGTTATTTTTTTGTAAAAAGTCACTAAACATGTAGCTTATCAATCAGATGAAAGTAGTCATTGCTTGACTATGCCGTGCATTGAAATTTGGAGGGGAAAAAAAAACATTACTATGAGGTGAGTTGTTAGTGTAGTGGGTTTTTAAAAAAATTTTGAGGTGAGGAGAATGGAAATCTTGAAATATTTTATTTCTAAATAGGCAAAAACCCCACTCTGTTTAATTTGTAGTTCTCTATACCAGTGAAACCGGAAATAGTAGGATGAGAGATTCTCTTTGCTAGATTTCTTACATTTAGACCTTTCTTTAAACTTAATTTTTTATATTAATCAGAATATTTGTATTATATTATAGTGGAAGTAAAGTGAAATACATAGATTCAGTTTAATAAATCTTAAAATGAACCCGTTTTAAAAATTATGTCATAATATCAAGTGTCTTCTATATAAAAGGTCAGTTTCCTTCTATATAGAAATGATAGTTTAGGGATGATAGACATAAGATCACAGAGCTATTGGAGTAGCTCTGTTTTTAAATTTATATAGGTACTTATAGTATAACTTTTTAATAGCTATTTTATTTTAGAGAACCAGAATCCCAAGTATAGATCTCCTTTTTACTCCAATACTTGAAGGGTCTGTGATATCATCTGTAGGGGCTATCCTTCCTCAAATGCAGATTGCAACCCTTCTGCCACTTTTGTGGCCACAAAAGCCATCATCTTGCATCCAACCTAGTGAGCCTCTTCAAACTTAGGTTGGTCCTTGAATGATAGACATATGATCTATCACTGGGCCAACTATTTTTGGAAGCCTGTTCAGCTTGGGTAAGACTTGGCAGAGCTCATGCTTCATAGGCATAGCTTGTGAGACTCAAGGTCATCTCCATACTACAGATGAGGCATCTGAGTACTTTGTAGAATATAGTCTTTCAACATTCCAAATTTATTATGTCATTAAAATGAAATATATTTTTCTTTATTTTTGTTTTTTGAAACTTAAGGAATTAAGCAAGTTATAATTTGGATTTTTATTTTAGTCACCTAGGAAATATGTCTGAAAAATACTTTAATAGAAATAATGTCTCTTCTCAGTTATAGATAAATCTGTAAACTGTATTCTGAGGAGCAGTATGTTTTCCCTTCCCCTGCTTTGTTTTCCAAGAGGAGATTATACTTCTGATTTACCCTTTAGCTCTGGGACATAGGGGCTTCTAAATACACATTGCAAATCTAATAGTCCTGTAGTAAGCCTAGAGACTCCCTGATGGCTAAGGGATTTACTCTAAACTCAAGCCCACCCTCATTCCAATTAGTTCTAGCCTGGTCTTTGAAAATGTTGTGTTACCACCTTCCCTTTTTTTACTCTTTTTGTCTGCTTTAACCAGATAGCTGTGAAACTGTTTGGGTAGAGTGGTCTCCCTGTAGACAGAAATGGGCCCCAAATCAGACTCCTTGAACCAAATAATTTACCATCTTAAAAGCACCTCCTGAAATTAAAAGGATGTAGCTATCCAGCTTATTTTTTGGATTGCCCAGGAGACGTATGGCTATTTCTGAATCATCACAAATTAAAGCTATATATTATCCACATCTGGCTAAGCAACTGTTGGAAAACAGTTGCTAAGAATATGATTTATACCAGAGTGTGAACAGACAGGGAGATAAAAAATTACTCTTTAAGTAGAGATTTTCCATTTATTTAGAAATTTCCATTCATTTCATAAGAGTGGTTTATGAGCAATCCATTATTTCTTGATATTATACATAGAAGGATATATATTTTGTGGTAAAAGATGTCATTTTATTCTCATGCTCAGATACCAAGGTATAAAGGACAAGGTAAAAAGAAGAAAAGCGGGGAGAAGTCTGGTGAAAAGGTAAAATGCATGAGAGCAAAAAGGCCGGCAAGTGCTTTTAGATTCTTTAGGGAAAAGCAGCCTATGCTGAGAAGTTCTGGTAGTGGGTTTGCATTAGCATCATGATGTGCTTATGATTGAGTTTAAATGCAAACTTTTTGGTTGTTTTTTTTTGTTTTGTTATGTTTTTGAAATGTCAGAGTCATTCATTTGTGATTAGAAAACCTAAGAACTTGATGGTTTGTATAAGACAAAATGAGTTCTAGTTGGCATAACCATTTTAAAGTTCAGTTTTTACTGAAAGAAAAATCACAAGGGTACAGGTTAAAAATAAACTATAGATGTTGTTTTTAGGTTTTTATTAGCAGGTAAATATAGATTTTAAATTTTTCCTTTTTTTAAATGAATGTAAAGCCTTGAGAATATATGCCATTTAGCTTCTGTTATCCAGGTATTTAGGATTAGTTGCAGTAATTTAAAACTTAATTTTATATAGTTGCTCTATCAAAGACCACTTTATACCTCATGTTATTTACTTATAAAGCCCCTGATTAGTAAACTAGGGAGTAGCATGTGATTGGAGATGAGATGATAAGATGAGTAACTTAATTGCTATATTCTGTTCCCCTTAGATCACAGATAGTTATTAGGCTTTAGATTAGCTACCTGTTTTTTTCTTTTTTTTTTTTTAATTTAAAAATTGGGAGTCTGAAAGAAGCATTGTAAATAGATTTTTAAAATGATTTATTTAAAATGTATACATTTATTTCATTTTGCAAAACTCATCTCTCTACAGTGCTCTTATTGACTCTGAATGTTTTTGTACTGTTTTATAAACTTTTTTTCAAGATAAGCTAATACTTTCTAGGATCAAAAGTCTCTTAGTCACATTGGTGTTGCCAGTATACAGAAAAGGAAATAACTTCTTGAATCAGTTGACAATTATAACCTAGTACAAAGAGGTGGATTTCATGTCCCTACATTAAAAACAACAAAAACCCCCTGAAAACCTTTTTGGGGGGTGCATTTTATAAACATGTCCTTAAGAAGCATATTAGGGTTATCACTGTGCTTCTGGATAAGATGGATAAGACATCTAAACAAACACTCAGACTTCATTTTTATCAAATTAACCAGCATAGTGTTGAGCATGGTAACTAATACATAGGAATTTGGGGCTCTGATCTGTCATTTAATTTCTAGCATTTTTGAATGTGAACTTCATCTGCTATCAGCTTTTGAATTCCATTTTCATAGACATGTTACCTCTGCCATAACCACAGCTAGTACTCAGTTGTCGTCTGTCTTTAGAACCACAGGTGATTTCATTGTTTAGATATACCTGTTACCACTTACCTTACTGCTGTTTTCTGAATATACAACTCTATGTCCCTGAGTTTCCTGTAAGATAGAAGAAATGCAATAGGAAAAGTTGAGAGAGCAGGACCCATTTCAGAATCAAATAGTCTGCTTTGTTAAGCGTTTAAAACTTTTTACAACCTTCTTCTGACTTACCTTTCCAGGCTTATATTATAGATTATGAATTCATCACCTAACTGGAACTACTCTCTCCATAGTTACCCTGTCCATCCCCCTAGCCCCTCCTAGAAAATCATGCCTTATGATAAAGAATTTTTTTAAAAGGATAGGAAAAAAAGTTTTATCAAAACTAACCATTGTATTGAAAAAGTAATTATGTTCAGTTTTCCACATCCACACCTCTCCAGAAATGTAGGGGGAGATGTCCTCTCATTTCTTGTCCAGCCTTACTCATTATAACTCTTAAACTATTGCCTTTTGCTTTTCAGTCAACTTTCTCCACTTAAGTATTTTGAATTACGAATCTGTTAATTACTCTTTCCTTTCTTTATTAAAATCTTCCACTATTGACTCGTTTTTTTTCTAACCTGCCAGTTGAGTTTTTTATTACTTCATTGAGGGCTATAACTTCTGACTTTTATTTCTCTTTGAATGACTGGAATTCATTGTTCAAGTATACTCTTGATATCTGTGCAGAGTTATATCTCATTGCTTCGTTTTCCTTTGTTTTGTAATATTTAAGAGATCTTTGTAATCTCTTTGCAGTTTTTGTACTAATTCTTCTAGTTTTGAGATCTCTTAATTTACTTGCTTGTACTCTGGATTCCTATTGAGTTTTCTTCTTTTTGAGATCTTTGCTGTTTCAGCCCTTTCTGTCATTTGATTTCTAACTCCTTCTCACTTGGTGAGTAACCTTCTCTACAGCTAGGCTGTAAAGTGACCTCAGCTTTGGAGATGTCATTCATTGGCATAGTCGTTGCCCTAAGTAATATTTGGGGGGGTATGAGACTGGCTCCAGGTAGACTTCAGTCTCCTTTCCTTCGGGCCTGATGCAATAATGCATACTCTTCTCCTGCCCTACCTTGGGTTTCCTTTTCTTTTCTACTTGGTTTGGATCATCACTGGCAGTATTTCATAAGTTTGAGAGAGACCAGAAAGGGTGTTTTGAATAGTTTCTGCAGTCTTTGGGGTGGGGTGTATCCTCTAATCTAGGGGTTTCTCCAGACAGAGAACAGCATATTAACTTCTCATACAATCACAGTGTGCTTGTTAGAGACAGTGGAGAAGAGAAGAAGGAGACCAGGTGTGCTAACAAAGTCTTTGTTGCAGGAGGGGATTCGAATAGGCTCTAGGCCTTAGGTCCTGCTGAAAGTGTGAAACCTGGGTGGCAGGGGTACTGGGTAATTTTTTCTTTTCTTTTCTTTTTTTTTTTTTAAGGATTAGTGTTCTCTGGTGTTAATTCCTAAAGATTTTACCTTACTTCTGGTGCTTAATTCCTCCTTGGGGGTGGGTTTTTTTTTTTTATTAAGATTTAGTAAGGATTGGGCTTTGACCCCCACAGCCAGTGATTTCTTAATGGCCAAATCTAATGGCCTTTTCTTAATCATTATCCACCTCAACAGCTTTTGGGTACTAATTCCTCCCTGGATTTTTGTAATGCTGTTCTCCCTGATTCTCTTTCTGACCTCATGTTCTCATTCTCCTTTTTTGATGAATCATCTTCACATGTCCTGCTTTCTAACTGTGGGTTTATTCCAAGGCTCTGTCCTGGGCCTCTTCACTCTTTCTGTTTGCACTCTTGGTGACCTCCTAATTTCCCATGGGTTCAGTTATCTTCATACAGATGATACTCAGATCTATATGTCCTGCTTTTGGTTTCTCTTGAGCTCTTTTTTTTTTTTTTAAATCTCCCTGGGTAGGGAGTAAGTTCCTTGAGGGCAGAGACTTCTTTTTTTTTTTTTGTCTTTGTATCCTCAGACCTTCACATAGTGCCAGGAACATAGTAGGTATTTAATACATATTTATTGATTGCAAGGAATTGCAAGGAATGATTGTAAAGGACAAATTGAAGAGGGTAATAAATGTGAATGAAGGAAAGAAAGGTAAAAGCTGGAAAGCTAGCACAGATATCTGGGGAAATACTGTTTTGTTCACTTTGAAAACAGTTCATTTCAAATTCGAATTGTATGTGTATTGATTGTATATTGATCATTAATGATCACAGATGGTACTTTGCAAAACCCTTCACTGTAGATTCTTTGATGTAACAAATAAGAATACATTCTCTTGTTTTTGCTAGGGGAACCTTTTGGGACATTATGTATACAGCTTCTTGATCATTCCAACCTAAAATGGTCAGGACCTAATTTTTGAAGTGTTTAAGCCATTAGAAAGATAATCATTCAATGAGAAAATTGTCAATTTGTTGATACTTTGAGCTTATTGAATACCTTTAACTTTTGATTAAGTTAAACACTTTGAAAGGCACATTACCTCCTAAAGACCACAGAGGTTTCTTTTGGAGTAAATTGTTCTATGGCACCCTGACATTCTAAAAAAGTAATTGCACACAGCCGAACTATTGATTTGTATCAGATTCCCCCCACCTTCACTTTAAGAAAAAAAATTGAGTGGGTTTCTTTAATCATCGTAGTCGCTTATTTTTGTATTTAGAGCAAGATGTTTCCTTGAGAGTATTGTTCTCTTTTTTTCCCTTTTGTAGTGGATTTTCACATTTAAAAAATTTTTTTTCACAGGTACTATTCTTTTTTGGTACTTTTGGCTATGACTCTCAGAGAATTAAATCTTAAACCAAGAAATAGTTTATCTAATGAAGATTAAGAATAAGATACCTTTGCATGTGATGGGCAAGAAGTTGATTTTTTTTTGCTGTTTGAGAAAATCTAAAAAGATGTCATAAATAGTGCATGATTTTTAGTAACAATAGTATTGTTTCTTTAATCCAAAACTCCTGTGTCTTAGTGTAGATTAAGAAATTAAGTTAGAGGGGCAGCTAGGTGGCGTTGTGGATAGAGCCACCGGTCCTGAATTCAGGAGGACCTGAGTTCAAATACGGCCTCAGCCACATAACACTTACTAGCTGTGTGACCCAAGTCACTTAACCCCATTGCCTAGCCCCCCCCCCAAAAAAGTTAGAAAACAAAACTTGGTTTATGTGATTTTAAGCTAATTCTAATTCTAGCTACACAATTCCCTACTGGAAAATGAGATGCACATCAGTGCTAAAGGCATTTAAGATAATGCCAGTCAAAATTCACTAATAGAATTGTTAGTTAAATAAGTGATTATATTATTATTTGTATAAATGTCTATATATCTTGGAGTACTAATGATGAAGTACTATTTACCATGGGTCGATAATCAGAATAAGGTTATTTTGGGTCTCATCTGAGAGAGTTTATTTACTGAAGTATGTACCTAAATTGTTATTTTGCTTAAGGTCTAGTGTTAGGGCATAAGTTCTAAAGCATTATAGTAAAACCTAATATGCATAATAACCAATTATTGGTTAAAACCCATCAGTGTAATGAAATAATATATCCTGAAATGTCACTGTGAGTCTTATTCCCAAACAATTGGGAATCTATCCCTTCCTTCCCTGCTCTCCAAAAGGGAAGTTTTTCCTTTCTCACTGCTTTGATGACAATAAATGACAAATAAGCAAACCTCCATTTATTTTA